CAATTTTTATCAAGTATTAATCTTGATGTATTCTTTATAAATGAACATTTAAATTCAAATTCAAGATTATGTGAAAGCTTATAGTCAAACTGATTGGTAAGATAAAATGAACCCAGTGATATCAAAATTGATTCAATATAGATCCAATTAAGCCCACATGAAGCCATTGAGGCGCAAGTGGTGTTTTTGGTTCATAAATTCAATGACTAAATTAAATACAAATTTGAAATATATGTCGTCAAATCGAGCATCTCGACGAGAGGAATCCAATATCTCAAAATAGCTAAATTTCAAGGTTATTAAGGTAACCAAATTTTTAAAACATAACATATGATCACGAGGAATCAGTATGGATATTCAATCAATTGGTCAGGGAAGTTACGCACCAAAAGGACAAAAGGTTATAAATAGGTCTCATCTCTTCACTTGGGAGGCGCAGAGAAGAAGAGAAAAATAAGTGAAATTCAAGAGTCTGTTTTAATGAAGACCCGTCGAGTAAACACCGGCCAACAACGACCACCATCCGTGGGCCCGTGTCAATCACCGGCCGTCATCACTTCATGCTGTCGTCGACCACTGGTCGTCACCAACCACTGCTCACAATTGTTCTAACCAAACTACAGCTTTTGCGGCCAACTACTGCTATTACAGCCACCGACTATAACATTAATGACCAATTGTTGCCTTTATAACAACAAATTATGGCTTTTGTGGACAAGAACCTTTGTTGTTCTTTACAACTATGGACTTTGTATTTAGCTTTATTTTTATAGCCACAGACCACAATCTTTATGACTAACTACTGTATTTGTAACTACAACATTTGTGGCCAATAACAACTGTGACAATTTTCAACTACGTAGTTGTGACCAATTGTTGCTACTGCAGTCACTAACCACAACTTTTACGACCAACCACTGTCTTTGCAATGCAAAGCTCATATTATGTACTTCTTCATCAACAGTAATTTGCGATATTAGACGCTTATTTTTCTTGTAATTAATGTCAGTCTGGATATGGTGAAGCTATTGGCATATATGCACTTCATCCAGCTGCATCCAGAGCAGGTTTTTTGCATAATCCTATTTTTTATTTCATATCCCTTTGCCTTATTTGTTAATATGCTAATTTTATCTCTTTTCTCTGCCTTACCATTTTTCGAGTTGCATTTGTTCATGTGAGTTTCTCTTCCTCGCGTTCATACAAACAATCTGAGTTCTCACAATTTTTTTTTATTTTGCTAATAAATTTTTCCCAAAGTTTTTTCAATGTTTATGGTTTAGTTTTTGATTAATTTGAGTTTGTTGATTTGTCGCCTCCTCTCTCTTTCTACGGCTGTATCCAAAGGTTCCGAATGGTGCTCCGATTGTATCACGTTCTTGAGGTGGTGTGCATTCCTTTCTACCCTTCCCCACCCTCTCCTGCATTGATTCCCTTGAACGTTGTCGCTTTCCAGCTTGCTGCCACCTTACCAAATCACTTCGCATGATGTTGAACACCGCCACAGGAATGTGATACATTTGTGGTTGATTTTAGCATTCCTTCATTATTCATTCCATCTAGAAGCTGCATGAGGATTTTTTGTGGTGATTTATTATATCAAGTGTAGGGGGTGGGACTATTTTGACAATTTTCTCATTTCTTATGATTAGATGAGCAATGCTGCGGCAATCACAGCCGCATTCGGCGGTGGTTAGTGGTCCCAATGACCGGCGTACGATCATTGCCTCTAACTTAAACACTGATGTAACTTTGCCTCATTCTGTGGGAATTTGTTCTTCCTTTGTTCCACTTCAAATTTCTTGTAGTTGAAATATTTCCATTGGACCTTTTTTTTTTTTGCAGAAAATTGATAAGCTTGTCAATTTGTTTTCTTTGTATGGCAATATTGTCAGGATCAAATTTCTTCCCAATAAACTTGATCATGCTCTCATTGAGATGGAAGATGGGTTTCAAGCTGAATTAGCTCTGCACTTTCTGAAGGTTCGACATTTTCTACCTTATCCATACTATTTGCACAGCGGTTGTGTTGGAACAAGTTGTTTCTTGCTAATTTGAATCATTTTAATATAGGTTGATATATGTATTTACATATCTAACATCTAAACTTTGTTTTTTTTTACATTTATGGCACCGAGATCTTTCATATCACGTCAAAAATATCACCATTTTAACTTTTACAAAGTGAAACACACCTTTTTATGCGTATGTAAGATGGTATGCGTGTAAAAATTGAAATTTAGGTGTTAGATATGTAAATACATAGGAATTGAGTGGCATGTATGATGTATGTAAATCTTCCATTCAATAAAACATTTTATAAGCTGCTTTCAACGAACCTATGTGCTGGCTTATATTTCGGTTCCCAAGTGCTAAAATTTTATGCAATTTACTATCCTATAAATTGAATTTTATATATTCTGCATTTTTAATGAAACTGCTATCCTATAATAGAAACTTTTGGTGAAGAAACTCTAAATAATTGGTAAAAATGCCATGAAATTTGTTTCAATGATTAGTTTCTTCCATAAACTTCTGAAATAGAGAGCTATAGAATGGATTTTATTGGAATTGTTACTTCTAAAATGGCCAAATACCTTGACATTTTTACATATAACTCACATTTTTCTATTCTCATGAGAAATTTACATGCACAACACACCATTCCTTTGTATTTACATATCTTACGCCAGTTTTAAAAAATTTAGTATATACATGCTCTTCCTTTCAGGGTGCATTATTGTTTGGCAAAAGGCTCGAGGTGAACTACTCCAAGCATTCAAACATCACACCCGCACCGGACACTTGCGAGTACAGCGGATCGAGCCTAAACCGCTTCAATCGAAACGCCGTGAAGAACTATCGCCATTGCTGCGCCCCAACGAAAATGATCCACATATCGACTCTCCCACATGACATCACAGAGGATGATCTCGTGTCTCATCTTGGGGAGCACGGAACGATCGAAAACACAGATTTTTGAGGCCGGCGGGAAGAAGCAAGCTCTGGTTTTGCTCGAGAACGAGGAGGAGGCTACTCGAGCACTCGTTTGCGAGCATGCGAGCGAAATCGACGGGTATACGATTCGTATATCTTTCTTTCAGTTGCAGAGCATATAGATCTAATCTTTATAATTGTTTTGGAGAACGCAGTGATTACTCCTTTTGATTCTAAAATGTTTTCAGTTGCTGTTTGATTTGTTTATGCTATATTCTTTCATTAGTTTTTTTGGGTTGGATTTGTAGGCTCTGTTTAGTGCTATGAAGTTTATTTCTACATAAAAGTACAGGCTGATTTTTTTTTTTCAATTTTTTTTTGTATGTTATAAAATAAAAATTTGGGGCATTTGCATATTTGCCAGCCAATTACTAGTTATTTACATAGCATCAAAACTCTACCGTTTACATTTTTGCCCACCAAATCTCTTATATAACATAAATATTATTATTTTTTCTTTTAAAAAGGTGCATTATATGTTTTCATGCATCCGTAAGGTGTTTGTATATATATATATAATATATGTATCTGTATGTATGTATGTATATATATATATATATATGTATCTGTCTGTGTGTAAAAATTGAAGTTTAGGGGTTAGATATGTAAATTAACCGGTATTGAGTGGTATGTAGGTAAAGCATGCATATAAATTTGATGCGGATAAGGTCTATGTTACTAATTTTCAAGTTCTTTTAAAGTAAGCTATGAGAGTTCTGGTTCGCTCATAGGGAAAAATTTTACATCCGAAGTCTGGACGCAATTCTGCGTGCGGACTTTCAGTAATATGTTGCCACGTATGTTACATTGCGGAGGTTATTACGAGGATTAATGTAGGGGTTATTGAAGTAGAACCACAGAGGTTATTGATAGGTTATTGTAGGGGGTTATGAAGTGCAATCACGTAGGTGATTGGGGGGTTATTGATGAGGGTATTAGAGTGAAACAATGGAGGTTATTGAGGAGTTATTGCTTATTATGGGAGTTAATGCCTCAATAACTCTCCAATAATCTCCCAATAACCCTCCAAATAACATCTGGAGTTTCACTCCAATAATCTCTCCTGCTCCACTCAAATATTTTTTCAAGTGTGACGATATATTATTAGAGTCCGCACGTAGAACTACGTCCAGTGTTTTGACAGAAAATTTTTCGAGCTCATAAAAGATTTTTCCCTAAATTTTGAGATGATGATATTCAGTTCAAACATTTAAAATGTTTGAAATTACAAAGATGACCAATTTATGAAAATAAAGGTCGTTTTTGTTAAATTTAGATTGAATTTTTTGGCAGAAAACTGATTGATATGTTTCAACTATGATGTTTATTTGGATCTTTTAATATTGTTATTGTTAAAGGCATCTGCCGCTGACGTACATGGAACGTGAAAAATAATTAAAAAATGATCATCTTAAAATATATTTATTGAAGGAATATTTAGGCATCTTTGAAATTTAAAAAATATTAACTTGTTTTTAATATTTTCTTTCAACTATTAAATTTATGTATTTTATCAAATTATTAGGTGTTTGTTAAGTAATAATTTATTGTAAATATTAATTTTTTAAAAATAAAATTTTTGATTTTATAAATAACTAAAATTTAGATGACATATATGAAATTGCCTAAGATGCCAATTCGGGTTAGCGGGCTAGATTTGGATAGACCCAAAAATAATTTGACGTGAATTGGGTCAACTTGAGTATTAGCTGAATAATAAATGGGTCGAATTCTCTAATATGAATTTCACTCATAAAATATTTGGGTCAACTTTAACTCGAATTTTCTAGTAGAGTTTGAGTCGTATTCGCATATCAGTTCAATTTCAATTCGGGCCGATGGGTTGGGTTGTGCTTTGACCCAAAAATAACCCAATCTAAATTGGGTCAACAACCCAAATCAATTTTGAAAATATTGAGAGCAACTCTGACACAAATTTAGAACCAGCGACAAATTTTGACACCCTAAATTGCCCCCCGTGGTGGTGAATTGAAGGAGTGTAGGAAAACATTACGTCAGCCTAGCAATGGTGCTTTATCAGCACTCGTGGACTCCCGCCACTCCACTCCTCTTCACCCGAAACATATCCAACTGGCCGGCGATTGCCTCCGCCCGTGGCGGCGCTCCTCTAAAATTTGCCCTCCTCTCCGCTCCTATCCGACGCTTTCCCTTTGCTTCAGCATCTTTCAATCCCAACGAATCTGGGACAGTAGAGAGCTCTACCTTCGACCGCGTAGCGTACGAAGCCGAGCGGCTACGGTTAGACGCAGCTGCTCGTGACTCAATGGCGGCGATGGCGTCGGCTTCAGAGGGAAGTGAAGACGCTGGATTGTGGAAATGGAGGATTCGTAAGAGGATATGGGATCTAATGGAGGCGGAGGACATAGCGCGGAACCCTCGTCCTGTGCATCATCGCATCCCGAACTTCGTTGGCGCGCCTAAAGCCGCAGAATCGGTTCGTCTTATATTTTAAACTGTCTGATTGTTTTCTTTGTGTTCGGTTATTCGTTTTCTTTATGTTTTTCAAGTTTTCGATTCTTCCGCTGCTGCTGCTAATGTTGTGGTTATAACGTGGTGATTAAGTTAGGGCGTCTTGAAGTATTTCAGAAGGCAGAATGTGTGAAAGTCAATCCAGATTCGCCTCAAAAGCAGGTCCGATTCTTAACTCTCATAGGTTAGTATTTTAACTTTTTAGCTTTGTCAGGCTTATATTAGTCTGTTCTGTTTCTTTTTATTTTTCTTTTTTGCTGATGCACGAGTTGTATATAAACTCGTGGTTGTTATCTTCTTATGTTCTGGCAGTCAATAAGATTTGATTTGGATTTAGCATATGGGACACTTGTCTTTCAGTCCTCTTAATTTACCACAGCTACCTAGCAAAATGAAGAAACTTGTGCAAGAAAATTAAATTTAGAGATGAATTGGTTTTAATTGTTCAAGGGAAAGAAATATGATGCTGCAAGTCCATATAGGAAGATTTTTTTTAGTCCATATAATTGTCTTTCAGTTGCAAGTTAAGCATGCAAAGTAATGGCATGATGGACTTGTTCAACTATATTGATTTAGAATAACTTTGTGCATGACATAGCTAGAGAATTATCGAGGTAAAATGCCCTCTGTCTTCATCCATGTGGTGCCAGATAATCTTTTCATTGATTTATGGTCTCCAAGATTTTTGAGTTTGTAGCCACCAATGCCAATAAATCAGATCCAACTCGCATATTACTAATAGTTTATTATTCTTATGACTAAGGAAACGCTTCACACTTGCTTCAAACTGAGTATTACCCTCTATCTTTTTTTTTTTTGTTTCCTCAATTCATGATTCTTAGGTGGTGCGAAACTACGAATAGGTGGCATTTTCTAGTTTTTTTCCCTCCCCACCTTTTTTAGAAATCAGTTCCTATTTGTATGAGGTGGGTTGTAAGTCTAGTTCCTTTTCTATGGTGTGTCATTGTTGTTTGATTGGAATGTGTTGATATTAAATTTGATTGATCTTTTTGTGGCTAGAATGCTTCGTGTCAACTTTTCTTTGTCGGAGTGATGTCCGGGCACATTGAATTGGAAGTATAGAGCACCAACTCCACTTTAAAAATTGGCTATCTAGGCTAGGTTGCTAACGGCTAATTGCAGCGAGAGCTTCTTTGTAGCCCACAATTCTTGCACAAATAGCCAATTAACAATTTCAATGCATTGTGAGAAGGCATTCTTAGAGTTGAAGGAGAATCTAACATCCTCATTTTCGCGGACCAATCCTTAGCTAGGGGAACTGCTACAATTATACCCAAGGGCGAGCAACTTGGTAAGCAGCTCGGTCCTTGTAAGATAAGTGGCAGGGAAAGCAACTATTTATCTTTTATACCAACAAAGATTTGGAGGTAAATTGAACTATCGTCATGGAAAAGTTAAAATTTGATATTGATTTTCACAATTGGAAGCATTAGTTGTATTAAAGATGCAGCTTATTAATTTTAGGCCACATATGATACAATGTTGGTCATATTTAATGTTCTTAGTTTTTCCCTCAATCTTGACGTAAAGTGGTCGATGGCATTCGAGGGCTCTTAAGTCATTATAGATCACAGTCCAAGGAGGTTTGGAAGAAAAAAAAAAGTTATGTTGTCGTAGTACTTGTTAATGTTGCAACCATTGGTTACAATTCTTGAAAATTTTGAAGTAATTCATGTCTTGTGAGGAAAACAGGCTAGCGGATCCCTTATTTAACATTGAACAAGCTAAAGAAGTTACTTCAGGCAGGAAATTTATCTCCCCCAAATTAACGAGGAGCAGGGTCGACACCTCCCCTGGAAATTATAATTTTAATCTCCTTATTGTATGCCAACTTACCATGCAAAGAGCATTGTTATCTTGGTTTCTAGCTTGGGGTATTTCCATGAAGTTTTTTATTTTAGAAGAGTCTATTTTGACACATCTATGATGCAAAAAATACCTTAAATTTTATAGATGATGCAGGAAAAGCACATTTTAAAATTTTCATCTAAATTGAACTTTCAAAATTGTCCAAAAACGAACCTTAGAACATTTACATGCTCATGCTGTGTTCAACTTATTATTGCATAATCACAAATGTAGCACCATGTTTATGTATGAGATTTTTTAAGATATGGGTGTGGGTGGTTCCAACATTTTTCAGCCAAATTGTATCATTGGTACGGTAAATATTGATTGGAGTTTGAAAATATTTGCAATTCTCATCTACTATCTCCATCTTCATATTGATGTAACATTTTGATCCATGCATGATCGAAACTTATAGTGGACCGGGTTCTTGCCGACCATGATTTTTCAGTATGCGCATGGGGAAATCATTTTTTGGGCATGCTTTATTTGGGCAATCAGACCTTCCTTCTTTAGCAGTACAATGTTTGCTATCAGGTATGCTTATTTTTCCTTCCAGATGAAAGTAACTTGTTGAGCTGGCAATCAACCTTGATCTCTAATCTTTTTATCCTTAAATATTTTTTAACAAGTCTCATTTCATGATTGATGGTAATCTTAAATACTATTAACATCGATCTAGGGCTACTAGACATTGTGGGAAGGTTAGGAGATATGTTAGGAGCATTGTGGAATGAGAAACGTGAGGGGAGATGATGATGGTGGTTCAGGAATTGCGTAGAATTGTGGCTGGATGGCAAATTACACGCCAAAACAGCAGTTCGGTAGCACAATAGCCAGAGCAAAATGTTGTCGGACATCTGGGATAGATCATCTTTTTGAACCATCATGTTACAAACACACCAACTAAGAAAGATCTAAGGATGCGTCATTCTAGTCAGAATAAGCTAGAGGAAATAGTTTCTATTGCATAAATCAAAGCCAAAAAATTTCAACCATGTTCTAAAACAACTTACTTATACTAAGGTGGGTAACCCGTCAAGTACTTATTAGAATGTATTGATAGGAGAAATGGGGAGATTCATCCTCATTTGGCTATTGAACTCCACATCATACTTTTCTTCAAAATGTTGCCAGCATTTCAAGCTGAGGTTCAACTTCGTTTTCATCGTGTCTATAGTCTTGTGCTTGTTTATGATGATTATGGAATTTAAAGATGCAGGAAGTTTATTTTTTCAGTTTACTATTACATGTTGATTTTAATTTAAGCATGGAAATTAATAAAAAGATCGATTTATTTAACTAGCCTTTGCTTTTGAGTTTCTGATACATAGAATTGATGTTAGTTTTTGCAGTTTGAGAATTTTACTTTTAGTTTCTAGTTGGCCTAAACTTCTAATTTAGGAGCATAGTAAGCTTTATTTTGTACTTTCTTGTAGATGACCAATTTGGAATGATTTAGTCCTTGTGAAACACTGAAATTTTGAGTTAGAAATGCCTTTTTCTTCCACCATAGTGAATACATCAAATTTTTAATTGAATTTATTGTGTGCGACTCAAACTTCATCAGCACCATAGCCACTAACATATTCAACTTTCATAATAGTTCTTTTGGTCCATTTAAATGCATACCTCCAAATTTCTATGTATCTACATATCTAACGCCCATACCTTAATTTATTACATTTATGCTGCTCAAATTTTTCGTATCACATAAAAAACACCACTGTTTTAACTTTTATAAAGTGAAATACACCTTTTCATGTTTAGGTGTGGTAGCATATATGTAAAAATTGAAGTTTAGGCGTTAGATATGTAAATACTCAGGAATTGAGTGTTATGTATGTAAATCTTCTTAATTTTTTCTTCCCAGTATCAGGGAAGCACTTCTTACTTGCATCAACCTGTGCATTAAATTTAAACCACCAAAATATTTCGTATCACATCAATAATATCACTATTTTAACTTTTACAAAGTGAAATACACCTTCTCATGCATAGATAAAGTGGTATGCTTGTATATAAAAATTGAAGTTTAGGTGCTAGATATGTAAATACATAGGAATTGAGTGGTATGTATATAAATTTTCCTTTTTATGATTCTGCTTTGATCTTTTAGATGGAAAGAAGTTGCTGACCCCTCAACCACGTCTAAGAACCGGATTCTTTTCGGTGTTAGAATCTCAGATGATTCCGGCTGGATCCATAATGGAGGCATGCTCTTCATTTGGCTTTGCAAAATATGGGAAACCTATTGGTTTGGATGAGAAAATTAAAGTAGATCTGTTGGTTATTGGATCCGTCGCTGTTGATCCGTGCACAGGAGCCCGACTTGGGAAGGGTGAGGTAGTATTTCTTGCCTCATTCTATTACACTTCAAATATGCTACTAAATATAACATGGGGCATTTACATACATACCACACAATTCTTATACGTTTACATTTTTATGACCTAAACTTTTCTTTTTACATGCATAACACTCAAATCTTTTAATATCGCATTAAAAAAATTTACTCTTTCTAACTTTATAGAAGTGAAATACACCTTTTAATGCATAGTTTTTTAACACCGAAGCATTCTAATGTAAACATCAAATTTTAGGTTTTAGATATGTAAATACATAAGAAGAATTGTGAGGTATGTATGTAAATTTCCTTTTTAACATAACATCAAATCTAGAAATGTTAGCTTAATGTTGTATGAATTGCTGTCGAGTAATGTGTTGTGTGGTTCCTGTGAGTTGCATGATTTGAAAACTGTTTTTTGTCATGGACATCTTTATTGAAGTATTTGCACGGGTTGGATTCAGATATTTCTAGTCATCCATCTGGTTTGAATATAATTATTTTGATTATAAATTAATAGTCATTGTTATCATCATCATTTGCCCTCTTCCAACTATTTCATATCAACATATTTATATTGTTAGGCAAAAAGTAAAATGCTCATTTACTTTCCTTACTAATACATATATATAACATTTCCCCTCGATGTGTGATGCAAAGTAATCTTTTATTTGAATCCATGAGAGTTCACATATTCCTTAATGACTCAAATTAAGCACTTGATCTTGAAACTACAGCGATTTTTTTTTCTTCCTATCCATGTTAGATGTGTAAATGTGAATGTTTGTGTGGTATGATGCCCCTTAAACATATTGCAAAAAACAAATAACTTCGATCACAAACTGCACCTTTGAATTGCATTTTGACAAAATCCAGTTATTTTAGGGATTTGCTGAACTTGAATATGGGATGCTGAGACACATGGGGGCTGTTGATGATTCTACTTTGGTGGTAACCTCAGGTAAGTATATTTTTGATCTGATGTGAAAGATTTGGGTGGTATGGATATAAGAAAGTAAAAGTTCAGGTGTTAGAATGCAAATCCATAGGAATTGGGTGGTATGTATGTAAATGCCCTTTTGATTTTTAATAATCTCGCTGTAGTGCATGAAAAGCAATTGGTCGATGACATTCCTGTGGAAAAGCTTCTCATCCATGATGTGCCAGTGGACATAATTTGCACCCCAACAAAAGTTATTTACACAAACACCACAATTCCGAAACCTCAAGGTTAGTATAGAAAAAAAAACACCCTTACATTCTCCATCCAATTTACAAAATTTAATTTAATTTTTTTTTTTAAGGAATCTATTGGGACAAGCTTTCTCCAGAAAAACTTAGCCAGATTCGAGTTCTAAGAGAGCTAAAAAAACGAATAGAGAAAGAAACAGGGCAGGTTTTACCCTCCGGTCCTTCTGAAAAGCTTCCCCCTACAGCCCAAAGGAGAAAACCAATGTGAGAGGATAGATCTGCAAATACATTTTGTTTCATAGGATGCTGCCAAAACTATTTTGATGCTTCGTTTCATGGTTATTATTGCATAAACTTTATACTTCAATAGGTAATGGATAATACTATTTGTCTGATGCATGAAAACTATTTGGGGGCATTTACATACATACCACACAATTCTTTTGTATTTACATACCCAACACCCAAATATCAAACTTAGGGTGTTAGATATGTAAATATGTAAGAATTTTGTGGTCTATGTCTAAATAAATAAATAAAGCAGATACATAAAACAACAAAAGACTGTCTACAATTATATCATTCATTACAAAAATTACAAATAAATCTCAAAATTATGAAAGATTCCGGCTGAATGTAAAAGCCACAAAAATCTCATTGAAAAACATTATGAGATTTTCACCCACGCCCTAACAATTGGTAATAATTATAATAATATTTTGTAATTTATCCCTTCCTACTTCAAAAAAATAAAAATAAAATCACTAAGAAACTATGCATAATATGAACTGTAGCTGGTAAACTCTGCTTTGTCTCATCTGCATCATCATCGCCTCATCGTGAAGACGACGGTGGATAAGTACCGGAATCCTTCCACCTCACCCCCACCCCCGCTGACGTCGACGGCGGCGCAGCAGCCGTCGCCAC